TTCCAAAGACATTGAGCGAGGTGACGGTTAAAAGTCGACTTTCCCGCTCCAGCTTCACCCAGGAGCAGCAGAACCTTTTTTTCTGAAGTTAAGAAAGCGTCAACCTCGGCCTTTAAGTCAAAAGATTTCGTAGCATTTCGGGTCCACTTTCCTTTTGGTGGCACATATAAACCTAATGCGTTTTTGATCTCTTCGTCTTCTTCGAGTTCGTCTAAATATTCATCTTTAATTTTTCCTAATTGCGCCAACGGTTGTGTGGCATTTGACACTAAATTCCGTGATAGTTTAAGACGAGCCTCAATCAACAAATCGGAATTCTTGTATATGGAAGAATTGGACACATTTTTACCAGACTCTACTTTATTAAATATCGTTTTGGCGTAATTTTTAACTTCTGTATGTTGCCCCCACTGGTTTTCGTTTTTCGAAAGTTCATCTAAAAACCTAACCGCCCCCTGTTGTATCCCTAATTCACGTGTACATGCAATCTGTCCTAAGCGTTGGCACAGGCCTATTAAAAACCACTTGTTCTTATTATGAGGACTCTGACGAACAAACTGCTCGAGTTTATTCAACTGATTTTCTTGGATAAAAATATCTATAAATTGTAGAGCCAAATACCATTGCCTTGTCTGTTCAAACCCTACTCCTTGACAAATATCTTCTACTCCTTCTCTTAATGTTTGAACGGTCTCGACTAATTCTCGAATGCGACTTACAATCTCATCAAAACCTTCAAATGCTTCACAGAAATCTTTAAAGGTATCCAGTAATTTATTTGGGTCTAAACTTCTAACCGCATTAACCAAACTAATAGATCCACTAGCAATTTTAAAAGTTCGACGCATAACTTCTTTCCATAATTTTTCATCACTTGAGATGTACAACAATGCCTGGCAAGCGTAGTGAGCATGATAAGCTAACTTCGGGTTTTCTTTTAACTCTTTAAACTGTTTATATAATGGCGCATGCAGCTTCTCACGATCAATACCTTTAACGCCTATCCGCACCATGGCATCTAATAATAAACAGAGTGTTTGTAATAATTCACTGAGCTCATCCTCATTTTCTTGTTTGTGCAGTTCATCTAGACGGTCATGTAATATTTTTAATATTGCCACTAAATTTCCGGTACTAACTTTTCCGACAATTAAGTTGGGCATGTTTTGAATCACTTGAGTTAAGCAAAATATATATTCGGGATGTTGTAATTTGCTGTCAATAGCCCGAATACTATGCTCTAATAATTCTTCATAAATTTTTTTGTATGGTACAGATGATAATGCAATGATTTCATAAATCATCTCTTCTGTTTTAATATTTCTCTTAGAGAATAGTTCGATAGTCTCTAGGGCCAATTTTATTAGTTGTGGAGCTTGTTCCTGAGTATGGTTATTAGGTTGCAGATAATAGGCCAAATCCTGAGTGCTGCTAATATTATTTATGTCATTTATTTTCGACTGTGGTGAGGATGTTACTAAAGGATCTTGGGTAAAAAACTCTAGTTTTGGTAAAAAAGTCGGTGTGATCGATGATACAATTGAACCAGTAGAAGAGTTTTTTATTGGTGTATTTTCTGCCCGCAAGGGTCTTGTTGATGCTGAGGATTGGGTCAATGCTTCGCAATACTTCGGGTCATAATTTTGAGCTTCTTTATAGCAAGCATTCGCCTTATCCACTTCGTTTAAACTTTTATATATGTCACCACATTCTAAATAAGCTTCGGCTAAGTGCCTTTTTACGCCATGAAATAGGGAAAATCCACGAGCCTTGAATTTTTCAATAGCCTTTTGGTAGGCACCTATCGCTTCGTTTAGATAACCATCGGATTTTTGTTTTCTGGCATTCGCTAAGTAGCCTTTACCCTTTTTGTAATGATTTTCGAACATATTTATTTTAATATTTTAATACTGTATTTTGAGGAAACGGTTGACTTCAATAATTAAGCCGTTACGCATTCTTCTGTAATTATATGGTTAAGGGTACAAAATATAGGATTCTGTTACGTACGGGACAATAGTGTATATGTGTCACCAAAAATTCATACATTTTCGAAGCTTCCTCTTTCAGCTATATGTGCATTTTGGCTGAATGACAAATCAAGAATGTCAATAAGGCTTTTTTAAAAAACCTTTTCCCGATATCGCATAATGTTGTTCAAAAAATAAGATTATATTATAGCGATGATAGTAACCAATTGTGTCACATTTCACTAGTGTAATAGCTGCTCAATTAAAGTGATACCCATTGTTCTATAATTGTTCTGTTACATACAAAAAGATTTTATGCAACCTAAAAGCAATCTGCTACTATAAAATCAGAGAATTTAGAGTCCGATATAAGAATTTTTTGTTTTCCAATTTTCTTTCGGTTTTTGTTTTTCAGTTTCGTGTTTTTTTTTTGTTTTTTTTTCAAATATTTTCTTTCGGATTTTTTTTCTATTTTTTTTTTTCGAGTTTCGGAGGCTTTGATTTTTTTAAAAAAATTATTTTTTCAAATATATTTTTTGATGGATTTTTTTTTCAGTATTTTCGGTCAATTTTTTTATAACATCTACCATCGTGAACAAGTCGTGGGTCCCAACGCGTTATCGTTTTGATAATATTTCTCAATTGTTTTAATTTTAATAACTTTAGCAAAGATAATAGTTTTATATATTTTATCTCACTGGTGATGTGATAATTACATTATTAAATTGGTGATTTAGTGTTGAGTTTAATTTTAAACTTTTTTATTTGGGTTTCGGGTTTTTGGGGGGTTCGTGCTTTTTTTTTCGATTTTTTTAACCGGCCGGTTCCAGGGTTTTTTTTTCAGTTAAGTCTTTTTTGTTTTTTTTCAGGTTTTAGGGGGTTTTCGGTTTTTGTTTTTCAAATTTTTTTTTCGGTATTTTTTTTTGATTTCGGGTTTTTTTTTAGTTATTATTTTTGGGGATTTTTATTCGATTCTTTGTTTTTAAAAATTTTTTCGGTTTTTTTTTCGGTTTACTAAATTACTGTACATGGTTAAAACAAATTGTGCCATTGAATTTTAATTAAATAACTCAATTATTATAATTCACAGTAATTAAAATATAGAGTTTTGTTAACTAGTTAATTAAAATATTATAATTAATTATCATCAATTAATTATTATGTTTTTTATTAAACATTTGTTTATCATCATTACATTAACAATCTTTAATACATATTAATTAAATTAATTGTAGTCTATTGCAACTTTACAATTAATATGCATTTGCATCAAATAAGTGTTTACACATTAAAGGTGTTGAATGGCTAATGCCTATTCAAAATGATAATACTATAATTGATGAAAAAAAATTTTTATCAATAAGGTTGTTGGAACTTTTTAAGATACTATGTATTTTTTTAAAGATGCTTGATTTTAGATAATTAGTGTTGATGTTGGTAGTTGGTGGAATTTTTTTTCATTTAATTCCTGATGTTATTAAGGTAGTGGTTGTTGCTAAACATTGCTTCCAGATTTTGTATAGTATTTTAAGAAAGTAGTTTGAAATTTCTTCTTTTTTCCAGATAATGTCAAATGAAAATTTAATTTTTCCAGAGCTAGATTAAACAGTATTTTTCCTGTCAGGCTGTTTATTTGAAATTGATAAGTTTTGTTTGAATTTAGTTTTTTCTTTGATATGTTAAGAACAATAAGAATCCCAAGTTTGTTTTTTTTTCTTAATATACAAATAAGGATTCTAATGATTTGATTCAATTAAATTCTCAATTATCAGATTTATATTAAATTTATTATATGGGTTATAACTTACTATCATTTTTAATAATGTTTCAAATCTTATATGAGTCTATACAAGTCTATTTAATTCCAATTTTTGGGACCATATGTGGGAAGGTTTTAATGGCAACTGAAGATATAATCTAGATTTTCTAGATAGCTTCACAATGAGGGCACAAATTATCCTTGTATAATAGAGAATATATTTTATAGAGCTTGTTTCTGGTGGAAAGCTAGTCTGTTAGAATTTTAGTTCTGAAGATAACTAGTAATTTAAAGTTGATTTTGTCAATATTTTTAAGTTTTTTGTTAGATTTTATAATTATGTCAAGTTCAGAAAGACGTTTACTTTTGTTTGTAAGAATTTTACTCAAAAGAATGTTGAACAAATTAGTATAGTAATTTATATATTTGATCAATTGTGTGATGCTTGTTGTATATTTGGAATTGGTTAATGGGATATATTGTGACTAGTTAGATATAAAACAGGAGTAAATGTCAAAATGCCTTAAGAAATGGTTGCAGAAATTGGATTTTATCAAATGTCCAAGTTAGAATAATTGGATTTTATCAAATGTCCAAGTTAGAATAATTTGTTTTGTTTTGAGTAGAATGTCAATAGTTCAGATAAGACTGCTATATATGAATTTTACTTAGGTAGTTTAGTATTTAGTTTGTGTAAAGAAAAGCAAGTGTGGACAATTGGGAAACTTCTAAACAAAGTAAAGTGAGAATTGACCAGAAAAGAGGTAAGGGGTTAGAGTTTAGACTGTATATAGTGAGTGTATATGGACTGTGAGTGGTAATTGTACTATTGTTTAGAAAATAAATTGTATACTTAATTGATATTGGAGAAGATAATTGTTGAGATATAGTTATAGTTGGAATATAAAGGGGTTGGAAAGAAAAACTATCTATAAGTTCTTGTAGATTATTGAGAATATAGTTGGCACTATTTCTTTTTGTCAATCATGTAGATTTGAGCTGAATAATATTAAATGTTTTGAGGCATGGTTGTATGCTGCAAGTTCATTTTTTGATTTGTTTATCATTATTGATGGTAAGATGTGGCCTGTAATTAACTGGCGGTTAATTGCGTTGCATTTGACTTTGATAAGATCAATTGTGTTGGATCTATTTAAGTGTGCTCAAAGCTATGATTTACAATTTGATAGTAGTGGTGTGTTTCCAACAATTGAGTTACTTAAATGAGATATGTTTGTAGTATTTGGTTGAAATGTGGCTGATTCATTTACCTTGACTTTCGGTGAGGCATTCTTGGTTATTGAGTCAGAAGTGTCAGAAGTCGGAGCTAGGAGGTGCTGAATGTTTGATTCATCGGTAGTTATAATTGTCTCAGTTTCGGGTAAATCATCTAAAGGTCTGTTAATAAAGCTATCAGGAAATTCTTCATTGGGATTCTTGGAGAAATAGTCAATTATTATTTGTATTTGACTATTGGATAATTCAGAAATAGAGTTTGTACTATATGTTTTAATATACTTAATTTTATCTGCTCCTGTATTTTCAAATAGCTCATGAATCTTTCTAGCTCTGTCTTCTCTTAGATTTTTTCTCACCAATATGACCGTTCTTATGATCTCTTTAACCTGATAATATAATTCCTTAAAATAGTTATACAAGCATAAAATTTCAGCTTAATTAGCTTTTACAATTATATTTTCAGAAATACATGCTTTTATATAGGCAGGCTATGATCTGCAATGCATCAGATATTTCTTGGCTTTTTTCATTCCGGGCGGGAAGCGAAATTTCTATCAAATAATTTTTAGGTGAAGTGATGGTAAAATCAAATACATCTTGTACAATATCTTGCGTTGTTTTCTTCTTATGCGATTGACCTGAGTTTATTGGTACATCATCAGATATAAGGAGCTTTTTTTCCTGATTCCTCTTTCTTATCTCATTACTGACCTTTTCCTTATATTTTGAATCCATGAATTCGTCAAACTCCTTATCTTCTGGCGATATGGGCGGAGAGTTGGAATTAATAGACTGTCCTATAATAGAATTAGGTATATCAACACTTGTGTCTTCCTCAGGAGAAATCTCATTTTGTGACTTCCTGAAATCTTGTTCTAATTTCACAACTCTAGCTCTAAGTTCGACATTCTAGGTATCACTATCTCCTATTTTTCTCCAACTCCTCTATTCTGCTCTTAAGCTCAGCATTCTCTTCCATAGCCCGCTTTAATTTTGTATTCTCAGCCTTAACTTCAGAATTCTCTTTTCTAAGTTCAGAAATCTCAGCCACGAGTTTAGAATTTAATTTCTTTAATGAATCGATTTTGGATTGGGTGTTTAACATTACTTTATATAAGGTGCATATTTATTCAAAACCTTTTTCTTATGCAGACGCCAGCACATATGTGGTTTGCGAATTTTAATTCTGTAAAGCACTCTAAATCATGGTGTCCTTATTGCATAAATAAACACGAAAACTTATGTCGTAAAGTCATAACTAAAATTCTTGGACCATCATCTGACATCCGCAAACCATATTTCTTGAAAACACCAGGCAAACAACATGAGCGACACATAAAACACTTTCACAAAAATGGAGAGGATTTCGAGAAACAATTAATGTGATCAGCTCAAAAGAGAACTCTGCGATGAAAATTGAATCGTTCTTATCGAGATATGGTATTACTAAGATCCACATATAGCCATTCGAAGAGTTAGGAATTATATTAATAGTACAAGTGATTGCACAAGATGGATTTTCCCGATTTTGATTAGTCATTGTAGCCATAATGGCGAGAGTTAAAAAGTAAATATATTTTTTGAATTTTTGAGTGCCTGAAAAAAAAACTAGGCTATTGACAGAATTGACCAGAAAAATGATTTTTGGGAATTGCTAACCGTGTCTTTTTTTTTTTGAAATCGCAAAGGTAGTTTTTATTTATTCACAAAATATCTAAATTGCACAAAGCTAGCTAATTTGATAAATTATCATTGCTACATATTACAATGCTACCGTGACTTCTATATGCATATAAAAATTTATTGTCCTTGATAACGAAAAATTGCTTGCTGGATACTAAACAAATCAATGACTACGTTCCCTGCGAGCGGATACGGCAGATATGGTGGAGTACAACCTTCATAGATACATTCTGGCGCAATTGTCACAGCAAGCATTCCCTGGGCTGAGCAACCATTATAAGGTCTTCGATGTCTATCAATGGTCACAAATTCGTACTGTAAAAAACGAATGCATAAGGTGATGTTGTCAGTCAATCATGATGGGTCAGCCAGCATAAATACACTGATTCCTACCGTTTGGACTGGCTGGAACCTTCCTTGTGCTTGACCTGCTTGAAGGCTTGCACGACGACAAAACTTATAACACTTTCAAGAATACAGTCATTAGATGAATGGATAGAAATAAAATGAACTTACAAAATGATACTAAACTGTTAAGCGACGCAATGGGCGCCCATTTGTATCTTTCCTATGATTCCATGGCCACAGTTTAAGTACTATCACATCCTCTGATCGGTTTGGGGATAACCAGAACGAATTAGTTTTCTGGAGTATATGTGGAAGACTTTGGGATCGGGCAACCTCACAGACTACGGTTGGCCAAGGATTACCCTATAAACAAATATACTTATTCATATTTTTGTGTTGTGCGTTGCCAATACGATTAAATGTGCATACCTGAGCATCGCTTGGATGAGTAGATGGTATAGGTAAGCAATTGGGCACAAATGAAGTGCAGATCTTTGCCCCAAACTAAGACAAGCTAAATGCAACAGAATAAGTTCAAACATAATGATATTTACACACAATCAAGAGCATTACACGGTACATACTTGTCGCTCCAGCACCCGTAACATCATCTTGAAATTGTAGATTGGTAAAGGCAGATAGAAATTGTCGAGAAAACGTAGTGTGTGCAACCTCATGATCACTGTTTGGCAACTCGTATATGATCACAACGCCATCATCAAACTCCCAAAATCTGCCTGCATTTGCAATTTCACTTTTCTTTTCATATTCACGGTACGTTACATTTTCCATGAGACACAGAGGCAGTCTAATAAAATAAGTAAAGCCTTAACATAGTCAATAAGAAATGGATGATACACAATGATTACTACCTTTCCTCATCAATAGCCTTATAATTTCCATCAATCCACCATTTTTTTTCTTTATCGCTAGCTTTTTTGATAATGTTGACGTCTCCTAGATTGGCTTTGATGGCCTCAATACATTCCAAGAATGCCTCCTCATCTGCAGAACGTAAATGTGGAGTTGGAGCTCGAGACAAGGAGCCTGAAGTTGAGAAGCCTGAAGTTGAGAAGCCTGAAGTTGAGGAACGGACAGAAGATTCCTAGTACGCATGAGCCAGGCAAAAGTAATTGACTCACTATGTTTACTATAATACATATTTTCATATGTCCTTATCTTGGGCCAATGATTTTTTCTCATATTAACATTTAAAGTTTTGTCTATTTCAAAATGCTCAGCAATGTTTATATTATATTGTTTCTTCAGGATATGGCTTCTTAATGTTTGTTTTTTAGAATGGTTAGGCAATAATCTTTTTTCAGATATATATGATTGACACCTAGTTCGAAATGCTTGGCTTGGGCACAATCTTTCTCAATAACATGATTGAGATATTTTGGAGTAGTTAGAATTTTGACAAAATAATCGTTGCTGATTCACTTTTATAATAAATAAGCAAATGTTTACTTACAGTATTTACTCGAACGTTTACATTATAAAGAAAAATTTTTTCAAGCTAGCAATGGAGAGTCGCAGCAGCATTCACATACGTCATTAAAATATAAAAAGGTAATTCTCCGAATTGCACGTCCGACAGATTAGCACCACTAAATCTACGTATCGCACTATGCTCCTTTGAAATTAACATACCAAAATCTAACCTTTTAAATTGAGCGCGATGAAACACTCCGTAACTTATATCCGTCCGCATCAGCAATATAAATACTATTTATTTTGTTACATGAATTGCATTTGCTGCAACAATTTCGAAATTGGTATCTTTTTTCTATTTCACAATAAGTCAAAAAGATATTTTTGAATTTATTGGCTCTGCTGAGCGTACTCAGTTAGAAAACGAACGATTCCGGGATCGCGTAGTATTAAATAGTATGGATCAGGCTTCCTTGCAAATCGACTAGTAGATTGCTCGGGCAACAAAATATTCGAACACGTATTTGTGAATAAATTGATATTGGTCACCATTGCAACTTAAAGGAGAGCTATAACGTAAAGACGTGGCTTCGGATCATCGTATCCAAAGAAGTTAGAACGCCAATTTTTGTCATCTACGTCTGAATACTTTACTGCTATTTCATTGACCTTAAGCATCTCAACAGTCAATTCTTTGCTAAATTGCACACAGTGTCGCGTAAAATCATTTTCTAAAAATGCATATGCATTCTTTTCATCATTTTTTATTGAAAGCGCACCTATAAACTAGAAGATTAGGATCCTGGAACATACAATACTAATGCATTTTTTATTCTTCGTTTTGTTCAAGTTCATTTAAATATTCTTTAATTAATAATTGCTTTTGCGTAATTTCTTGTCTTGTTTCGTTAATAGTCGCAATATTGTTAATAACATTATTTAACGTCGGAACTTTGATCACATTAGATTTCTTTTTGATGAAGATCACCCAAGAATCTAACTGCTCCTTGTTGTACATTTAAATCCCGGCAGTCTGTCCAAATCGTTGACGCAGGCCTATTAAATAAGGACTGACAAACAAATCGCTTAGCTGATTTTCTTGACACTAAATAAAGTAATGCTCCAACTCTGAGGCGGGTTACGTTCGTCCGGTTTCTAGGCGCGTCTCAATATTACAAGTGTCACTCTTTACACGGTGCAAAGGTAGCGTCGGTGTCTTCCTTAAAGTTTACTTTACTGTAGTGGCGTTGATATTAGTTTATTGCTTATAGGATGTAAGTGTTACTTGGCGAAGTAAAATAACATTTATTTAATAAAGCGCGAGAAAACAGAAGAGCATTCCAAAACTCTAAAGTCTAACTGTGTCTAATGCTAACTGACTCTGATTAATTATTCTATTTATATGCCTTGTTGACGTGTCCACTCAATTACATGTCTTTACCAAATCATTACATCATTCTGCCATCATTTTCACTACTGTTACGCAACGCGCTTCAATGTCGCGTTCCCATCCCTATTGTTCTCACAACAGTATTCAGCGATTTACATGAATCTAAATTTCTAACCGCATTCACTAAATTAATAGTTCCACTTGCAACTTTAAAAGTTCGACGCATGACTTCTAGCCTTAATTTTTCATCATTTGGCAGGCATATTGAGCATTGTAAGCTAACGCTGGATTATCTTCAATCTTTAAGCTGTTGATATAGTGGCGCATGCAGCTTCTCATGACTAATATTTTTGACCACTGCCAGCACCATGTCATCTAATAACGGACAGATCGTTTGTAATAGTTCGCTAGATGGAAATGTAAAATCTTAAATCACTACTAATTCCCTGTGCTAGGTTCGCCGGTAATTAAAAAAAACGAGTTAGGTATATTTTGAATCACTTCGGTTAGACATTTATTATGTATAGATGCCAACGTAATGATTTCATGATTTACCTCTTTCATTTTAATTTCCCCTGAGCTAACAATCAATAATCTCGAGTTAATTTTATTAGTTGTGAATCTTTTCCTGATGCAGTTATTAGATTGCAGGTAATAGACCAAATAATAGAGTACTGTGAATGTAATTTATCTTTGAATAAGAATTGGATGTTACTGGTGGATCTTGAGAATTATATAAATAAAATTTTTTTCATAATAAATTAGTATTTGTGAAGTTTATCTGTTTTTAATGTAAAATATATAATAGTTTAATTATTTTTACGCACAAATTTTTTACATACAATATTTGAATACCCATCTTAGATAAAATTATCTCTAGATATGATTTTGAAGATAATTAAAATTGCTTATTCTAATATATTTGCTTTGAAGTACATGTCAAAGTTATTGCCTGCAGTTTATTACTACAGTTGGAAATTATATAAATAATATTATATAAATATTACAAATATAATTAATTATACAGTGTGTGACAAAAAAAACTTATACTATATATCAATTTTTATTTTTGTAATATTTTAATAACTAATTGATAAAATAAAATAAAAATCCATATTAATATATTTAAGAATATAAAAAACAAGTTTACTTAATAAAGTTTTTAAAATATATTGTTAAAATTTTCTTAAAATTTAATTTTTAAAAAAATTTTTTTTTAAATAATTGAATTTAGTTACATTACAAAATAAAAACAATAAAAATTATTAAAATTATTTCAATGCATAAATTTGTTAAATAAAACAATAATAATAATAATATAATAAATTATTGTTTTTTTATTAAGTACAAAAAATTATTAAAAATTAACTTAACTAAAAATTTAGTTGAATTTTATTAAAAAACATAAATTATATATTAAAAGTAGAGTTTTTAAATGTTTTAATTTTTTTTTAAAAGTAATTTTATATAATATAAAAATAAATTAATTTAATAACATTTATTCAATATAATAATAACTTTTTTGTAATTTTTTATAAGCTTAAAATTTTATTCATTTTTATATTAAATTTTTTTAAAAATTTTCTATAGTAAAATTTTAATCTTAATTTATATATGAAATTTATACTATATTTTTTAAAAAAATTTTTAACTTTAAATTAATATTTTTAAATAAATTTATTAATTAAGCATTAATAAAATTTTATTATTATTGTAATAATAGGAAACAGCAAGTTTATTACTTGTATGCAGGTCTTGTTATAGCATGTCACATCATAGCTAAGTAGGTTCTCTTTGCACTATTTAGCTATATAGTTCATATTGTCACTAATACTTTATTCTTCTAATCTTATAGGTAAAAGAGGCAATTGAATTTGATTTATCAATTACCAAGATTTTGGGCAAAATGAAAATGTAATACTAAAAAATAAAATACTGGAGTTTATTACACAGATAAAGGTTTAATTGTTAAATAAACACACTTGCTATTTTTATTATTGAGAAATTTGAATACATTTATATATACTGTACTTCTATTATTCCAATTATTTCAATTATTTCAATTATTTTTTTTATCCCAATTATTCTAATTATTCTTTTTATTTCACCAGTTTATATCATGATATCTGATATAACATCTTATGATGAATCATCCCTTATTTTCTTATAACATTATATTATTTAAATTTTAAAAAAGATATATCTGAAATTTTATATTAATTGAATTATTATTTATTAAATTATAATAATAATAATAAAAACAAGTTTTTTTGTTACAAAAAAAAAAACTCTTTCCCACAACTTTTCAATTCGTAAAAAATTTCCTTTTTTGGTAATGACATGAACGGTAGACAGT